TAAGTAGTTACTGGGCCTTCCTATACGTGCTCTGTGTTTGTAAGTAGTTACTGGGCCTTCCTATACGTGCTCTGTGTTTGTAAGTAGTTGCTGGGCCTTTCTTTACGTGCTCTGTGTTTGTAAGTAATTACTGGGCCTTCCTATACGTGCTCTGTGTTTATAAGTAGCTACTGGGCCTTCCTATACGTGCTCTGTGTTTGTAAGTAGTTACTAGGCCTTCCTACACGTGCTCTGTGTTTATAAGTAGCTACTGGGCCTTCCTACACGTGCTCTGTGTTTGTAAATAGTTACTAGGCCTTCCTATACGAGACTAACTGAATTTGGTTCGTGAGGGTACGTCATGTACACTAGACAGCGTTACATCTATCAGTTATTGACTTTATCGAGGTCGATATGTTTTGAACGATACAACAGTTTTTAGTGTTAATATTACATGTCATATCCTTAGATAACATGATATATTAGATGTCTAAAAAGTCACAAACATGGGATGGTTTTCCGAACGAAATATCCAGATCTAAATTTAGAAACATTGGGTCGGTATGGTCACGTGCAAGACAAAAATAGAAACACGATGTCGGTATGCTCATGTGCAAGACAAAGATAGAAACATAAATTCGACAGGGTCACGTGCAAGACAACAAATGTGACATAGGGTCGATATTCGATATATCGACGAAACTGAGACCCAGTATTATCCAATGAGAATCAAGAAAAACCAGACCATATGAAATAATAACTTTTTATTTTTGGTGTATATTTCAGATGGGTTTGATCAGAATGTCATAGTATGGACTGACGTGGACATCTTAGCCAGTGATGGTACCGTCGAAGACTATCATGCGGTCCTGAGTCAGAATCTACCTACAATCTTACCGATTGCCCAATACGACGTAAAATACCTGATATTAAACAATTGTAGGTTTAAATTGTATACATCTTTCTTACAATATTTTAAAGAAAATAATATAAATAGGGCAAGGTGAGTTGTAACCACCCTGCAATAATATGTGTAGTAGTGGAAAATGATATTCTTTTCTAATTTGCGTGTGGCAGACTACATGGAAGGTTTACGAGTTAAAATAAATTGTATTGGGTTTACTTTCACCTCGTTGCCTCGAGGCTGAAGTTACAGTGGGGGATCGCACAACGCTGTCGATGTGTGGTGTTAGCAGTTGTTCGATAGGTATCGTGCTTCATATAAATTAAGAAAGGACCTGTGAAAGAATACAATTCGTATTTAAACTGATATTGTTTCTGATTTTAAGTATGTTGCCATATTTCAGGTAAATTCACATGGGTATCTATTTCTCTGACAGTAATGGACACACCACCTATCAAAATTGTTTAGAAACGATCTCAATCGGCACGTGTGTAGACATACAAGAATATACATGTTCGTACTGTACAAGCATATACAATGTAAACAAAACCGACTAACTTGTTACAGGTACCTGTAACTTGTTCGTTACCAGTTAACGGGTTGATTTTTGTATCACTGGTCTACCGTGAATGGGGTGTGAAATCACCATTCACGGCATAACGATGACGTCGGGTAAGGTCAGGTTGTGTTTTGATAATTGTCAACGATCGATGAACTCTTATCGGAGCTCAGCTCCATGCATCCGCTAAGTCCGAGTAGTACAGGTAGTACCAACCCATTACTGTCAGTTATATCGACAGTGTAAACATGTGTAACACGCTAAGTCCGAGTAGTACAGGTAGTACCAACCCATTACTGTCAGTTATTTAGACAGTGTAAACATGTGTAACACGCTAAGTCCGAGTAGTACAGGTAGTACCAACCCATTACTGTCAGTTATTTAGACAGTGTAAACATGTGTAACACGCTAAGTCCGAGTAGTACATGTAGTACCAACCCATTACTGTCAGTTATATCGACAGTGTAAACATGTGTAACACGCAAAGTCCGACTAGTACAGGTAATACCAACCCATTACTGTCAGTTATATAGACAGTGTAAACATGTGTAACACGCTAAGTCCGACTAGTACAGGTAGTACCAAATCATTACTGTCAGTTATATAGACAGTGTAAACAGTTGTAACACGCTAAGTCCGAGTAGTACAGGTAGTACCAACCAATTACTGTCAGTTATATAGACAGTGTAAACATGTGCAACACGCTAAGTCCGAGTAGTACATGTAGTACCACCCCATTACTGTCAGTTATATCGACAGTGTAAACATGTGTAACACGCAAAGTCCGACTAGTACAGGTAATACCAACCCACTACTGTCAGTTATATAGACAGTGTAAACATGTGTAACACGCTAAGTCCGAGTAGTACAGGCAGTACCAACCCATTACTGTCAGTTATATAGACAGCGTAAACAGTTGTAACACGCTAAGTCCGAGTAGTAGAGGTAGTACCAACCCATTACTGTCAGTTATATCGACAGTGTAAACATGTGTAACACGCAAAGTCCGACTAGTACAGCTAATACCAACCCATTACTGTCAGTTATATAGACAGTGTAAACATGTGTAACACACTAAGTCCGAGTAGTACAGGTAGTACCAACCCATTACAGTCAGTTATATAGACAGTGTAAACATGTGTAACACACTAAGTCCGAGTAGTACAGGTAGTACCAACCAATTACTGTCAGTTATATAGACAGTGTAAACATGTATAACACGCTAAGTCCGAGTAGTACAGGTAGTACCACCCCATTACCGTCAGTTATATAGACAGTGTAAACATGTGTAAAACGCTAAGTCCGAGTAGTACAGGTAGTACCAACCCATTACAGTCAGTTATATAGACAGTGTAAACATGTGTAACACGCTAAGCCCGAGTAGTACAGGTAGTACCAAACCATTACTGTCAGTTATATAGACAGTGTAAACATGTTTAACACGTATTGAAGATTTAGAAAACAGGTCAAAATATACCAATCGGATATCAAATACGTATACGATGTACCCTTCAAGGTAATAGGATTGTGTCGCCGTTTCTAGGTAGAATTTATTTTGTAATTATATTGCTTTGAAGTGAAGGAAATTTTTCTGCCACAAAAAAATATAGGTTGTCAGAATTTTAAGGATTTTAAATGGAAATTTATGTAAAAAGGATTGAATTTTGAAAAACAAATTGAAACACACTTTTTTTGCAAAAATATTGTCAATGAAAATGATACTAACATAGATTAGTATTGCATTAATGTATATCAATTACATAAATGCTGAAATTGTGTAAAATTAATCATCTATAAACGATTCGTTCTTACCATATCGTACACATGTGTGTTGTTATCGCACTACGAGAGGCTTGATTGTTAAGGTCATAGGAGTGTATTGCTAAACGGAAATAGGAAGTACATCCCTAGTTGAAAATCCAATTCATGTAATTGATTCGTAATTTGGTAGAAAATTGGCAACTCTCGTATTTGGCAACTATTTAATCTTTCCGTCGGGTGCAGATCCTCTTTTTTCATCTCCTAGGATGTGGAAGATTACACTCTTACCTTTATAGATTGAGACACCTTGTTCATTTTAAGCATTACCTAGAAATGGAACTCCATTTTATGATCCCAAACATTTAAGGTATCACTTTTACGACAATTACTTGTCTGCAATCAGAAAGCGCCATCAGTTTTATTTATGAAATAAGTTAGACAGCGTAGCATTTATCATATCTTAATATGTAGGTCATTGAATTTCTCGATAAACTCTTTTACCATATTTTGTGAGGTGATCATGTATAAAGCGTCTGACCGAGCCTGATAGTATTTGTCGCACATCATTAATACGGTTATATTTTCATGAAATTGTGAAATTTGAAATTGTTTCCCTCACGTTGGAGTTTTCGTAATTTGCTCATAAAGAGAATGACCTAATCTGTCATTAGTGTCCTACATTACACATGTGACATTCTGCTAGAAAAAGTAGCTATCATATAAAGTCCACTTCAAAAAGACTGCGCATATGCAATTTAATTTTTAAAATGCAACCGTTTCACTCTAAGATCAATTTATCAAACATCATCACTTTACGTATGGAACGTCATACCTTTGAGTATCAACATCATCACTTTATGCATTGTTTTCTCAAATCAGCAAAAGATCGTACCGTTAAAATTGCACATTTAATGATGGCGTGGTTCTTCGGATTCATAACTACAACTTGATACCAATGGGGAAGTTTGGAAGAATACAAATGTGATGGCTATTTTACGATCAAAAACACCTGATTTCACATATATACATATATGGCAACATGTTTTTGCTCATAATGTTTTCATTGTACCTTATAGTTTGACATTTTCAGATAGCTAAGAATTATGATTCACTCTTAACCCTTTCACCCTAATTTAACTTTAGTAGACTTTACCATGCATGGATCTGGATGAGTCCATTGTGGTCTACAGTGGTGAAAGGGTAAATTGTAATTATGTAGTGAAATAAGTATTTGCATATAACAGAACTTAGACATTACAGTTTCAGACTATAGCAGCAGAAGGAAGCGCGAGGCGAACAATGATACCATAGAAAGCTTTCGCTTGGGAATCCGATTAAGTAGTGATGCTGCTACCCCTATCAACACCTCTTCCGTTACCTCACTGACTTCGCTCGGGCCATTATCGTTTCCGATCCTGGAAAATGGGGTCCTTGTTCTCAGCTTCCGGAGTGCAAATATTGAGAATATAACAGCAGAAGGTAAGAGAGTAATCGCATAGCATGTACATACGGTAAAAGTAGAAACGGTAAACATTGCTTTGAATTGAGGTAAATTAATTGTGGTTGATGCAATTGGGCTCTATGTGATATCATTATTGTCATCAATCATAAACTAAAACAGAAATATAAAAAGGGGGATTCCATTTACTAGACGTCCAGACTGGGAACGTGGAGCTCGTGGGTCACATATTTAGATCGATGTTAAACTTACGCTTGCAAAGCAAGTGTACTGCAGCGTCGTCTCAATGGCTTATCGAATGTCTGACAAACACAGCGAGGTTGTTTTCCTATTCATTGATCAGCGATTAGGCCAGGTCCTGCACGTGACCCGGCTGACATCAGCTATTGCGTCGTCCGAGGACATCCCCAATGTGTTCTATGGACGACATATCGAGTGCTTTAAACGGCCAATCCAACACCCGCACATTGTATTGTTACAGACAAGTTAGGCCTTGTCGTATTGATTAATCATCACTTTTGACAATAACCTCTTTTCTGTTAGCAAACCTTTAACAATAAATGTTCTACAAACACTCAGCTGTTAATCATTTGTATCATTTTTGTATCGGAAAGAAAAAAGTCAAAATGTCAATTACCACGCCATTTTCGAAGAGGAATGGAATCTACGTGTGATTTAGTAAGGTTACAGACAATTTCCGACTTCTATTTTGTTCGATGTTTTTGGGACATATGCAAACAACACTATTCATATACGAACAAAATAAAATGCAAGTTCTATGAATTTGTTCATTTAGAGCATACTTTGTTTGGAAATAATAGATATGTCAAAAAGTAATAAAGCATATAATCTTACATATAGGTCAACTTTTGCTCAAAATACAGTTCATCAGTGTATACGTTTCCATAACCTCGAATGGATGGTTCAATATTTTGACAGTTAGGCTTCTACCTGATAGCATCCCCCCATACATGCCTCAGGTTTTATTACTCTTAAATGATATTCTTAAATTATATACTTTTTATTTCTCCAATGACTGTCATATGTCTTTTACATTGTTCATATAAGGAAAAGAATTTTATTACAAATATTAAGAGATTTACGAATATTACAGATTCTTTCACGTCGAAGGAGACGAATGTCTAATATACATAAATAGTAAAATATGTTTCAGGTAAGGTAAATTTATCTGCAGAACTTTTCTTGTAATGCTAACAGTCTAACTTTCACCTTGATGTACATTACAGAACTTTACCCGGGCCAGCCTAACATGACGGGTGAGTAACAAAGCAAGGTTTTAATGTGTCAGAATGACACTTTTTATAACCAGCATTGAATGTGTAAGTAATGTCTTTTTTTTATTTAAACGAGAATGTCATTTTAACGATTACAATGTGATAAAAATGATATAAATGGGTATCGCGAACTAGTTTCATTACATACACGTAGGGTTTCTGTAAACAAAGATCAGTGAAATCATAAACGACAGATAAGGTGTAAATATTTTTGAAATTATTTTTTCATCTACTCAACCAAAACATTAAAATGGCATTTTGTGAATATTAAACAGTATGATCATAGGGAAAATACAACTACATTTGTGTCGTCATCTGATTATCCCTAGTGCCGTCACAATGGCTGATATGCCACATGTTTTATTTAAGGAATGAAATTATTTTTTTCTACATCCATGAAGTCATAATAACATTGGCTTTCATGACATATTCCATGAATCGCGTCAGCGGTTCTTAGTAAATATGTCCAGAAAGCCAATGGTGTTCTAACCTCATGAATGTTGAAAAAAGAAATCCTTATATTTACATTTACATTTTTAAGCGCTTTAAAATATTCAGATGTAAGCATAAATATAACAAATACAGGTATTGTTTTTTATTTATACATTTGTACGGCAACGCAGTATAGAGAACAGCTTGTTTTCGTTGGAAAATGTAAAACTTCTGTTGGTGGTCCTGGCAACAGCATGACAACAAAACAAACAAAATATAGTTACTTTTTCAAATTTAATTTGCAGAATTTATACAAGTGGTATATTATTATCGTGTTATTTAAGCACCTTATTTAAGCATTAAAATCAAGTCAATCATATTGAATATTAATTCATATTAGCATAACAAAACTACATCGAGGGCTGTTCCACGGCGGACGTGAACCAAGTACGTCATGTGCTACGTCATTTTAGTATATCAATACGCAGTGATGAGGTCACCTGCGTTTTGCAAAAATAATTGTCATTTTTGTCAATAGGTCCAAGCATACAGAATGAAAATATATATAGATATAATGTATGCGATGTAGACATTGTATTTCATTACTGATTTTTTTTATGCTGAAAGTGATTATCAAAGTGTACAAAAACACATTTAGACAAGTCAGTGTCAATCTGAACGAAACGACATTCTATAGAAACGACTATAAGGCCACAAAATGGCAAAGGTTAAAGAATAGCATCATGCTGAAACATAGATATCATTTGCTGCATTCATTTGTTTGTGCGTTGACTACAAAAACAAAGACAGATACAAACAAAACGATCTTCTTTTTTATGCAATAAGATATCCACTAATATATCATAATCGTCGAATACCTTGCACATTTAGACCAGTTGAAATTATTTTAACTTGTATTGCAGTATGAAATGATATTAGTAGTCTAGAAATGTAGTACACGTTTCTTGCTTGTTGTATTCAGCATCGGATGTGCGGCTAACTGGTGGCCCTTCATGTTACCAAGGACGTGTAGAAGTCAGAAATAAAGGTGTTTGGGGTACCGTTTGTCCATCATCCGACTGGGGACCGAAGGAGGCTGCAGTCGTCTGTCGCATGCTAGGGCTTGGGTAAGGGTATACCGTTTATTTCTAGATCAAATCAAGGCAAAAACATAACTTGATCTGGTAAAATGACTATTTAAACGAAAGACAAAAACAACAGAAACACACAAACAAACTGTTTTAGATTATAGGTATTGATCTGGTTTAAACTTTAAACATTTAAGCTCACATACTCAGAGCAAATACCGGTATAAATATGCAAGACCACACATTTGTGTTCTTCTAACGAATTAGAAAGCACTCATTTATTACGCGGACGTATATTTTCACGTGTATTCGGAGTGCTTTTATCACATACATTCCGTATTTGGTAGAGATCTATACAAAGTTTTATAAACTTTGAGACTTTTTTTGCAAATACCGGGAACTTTTCAGTTCGCCATGACAAGGGGATTCCCATAAAAAGTAGCTCTAGCTAGTAGGTAAATACAACATTACGTATTGCACATGTGCAATACAGAACGTCGTATTTCATGGTCTGAAAATTGCTTGTATGTCTATAACAAGATTCAACAGGTATGTGATAAAACTCTTTGAGACAGAATTTTGTCGAAATTAAGGTCTTGTCAGTTCTGCATGAACCCTTGTTTTATGTGTGATCCGGAAACGTTACTCTTGCGGAACCTTTGCTCGGTAACTTCATGGTTAATAAGGACATTCAAAATAGGGCCTGTTTATAGTTAATGTTTTTGAGCTTTTATTGTTTATCAAGATGAGAACCAAACAAAATATAACAAACATTGTTAATTCCATTAACGCAATTTCTTATCGTTAACATTTGTGATACAGTATACAACTTTACCTAGAGTAGTTAGTCAGACTTTAACCCGATCTTTCTCTTCATCTGTTAAATATTTTAAGATCATGTCAAATATCAAGATTGCAAATACATGATAAAAAAATCCCGGGTAGGTTTGAGCTCAAGAACCTTTGAATCTTTCAACCCTGATTTGCTAGACGGTACAAGTTCGACTCTCGGGGTCGGGAGCAACTATTGTCGATCGTGTGTAAAATGTTTCT